TTCCAGGAGCACAAGGCTCCCTCCGGCACAGCTCTGCGGATCACAAGAGTACAGAAGCTCCCACACCGCGACAAGGTACAGCTCTTCGAGGGAGATGAAGTCATTTTCTTGACTTCATTTTTCGGAACTCTGATGCCTTTTCACACCATGTTGTTACTACCCAGTTACAACGATTTTTTCGATGTCCGAGGCCATATCCTTCTTGTGGCCAACTACCTCCTTCACATGGGCCTCGACATCGGCTGGCCGACCCTAAAAATATTTGAAAATTTTCCTTTGTTAATAGTGCAAAACAAGAAATGAGGTTCGTCAAACTCGAATATTGAAAAATCTGCTGTTAGAACAAACAAAGTACATTGCAAGAAACAAAGCAGTGTAATGAATTTGCATTTATTAATTTTGAACCATATCTCGCGCCATGGCAAAATGCTCTCTCTTCAAAGAAATTAATTTTCATCGAAATTTCCATGACGCGCTGATCACACCTTTATGAAATTTTCTGAAAGGTAAAGCTTTTCTCACGCGCCATTCTGAAATTATTGTGGGATGTTTACTGTCATCTTCTGTACTACTCCGAAACAAACAAACGGGAAACAGTGAACATGTGGTAAGTCCGAGTAACATTCGAAGCAATCGTCCAAGAACGAATGAAGATGTTCCGAAAAAAAACAAAAGCTAAGAGCGAGGAATATCGAGTAACACTCAGCAGACTTCGTTGTGGGCTAAGAGGTCGTTCGTATTTTATTGTTACACTCACTCACTCAACAGGACAAAACAGGACACTATTACCTCCATAGGAGGCAGTAGTGCAAATTAATTTAAGTTATAGGTTCTCTCCACATACCTCAAATGTACATCCCACAAGACGGTTGTAACGACACTTCATGAACACTTTTGTGTCTCCATCTTCCAAATGATGTAGCAACTAAAGAATATATACGATATTTATGTATTTCTGATCAACTTTACAAAAACATGCCCACTGTCACTCAGGCCCACGCCCTGCCAAAGCTCAGCCACTGGGTGAAAAGTTTGTGTTTGGAGGGAGTTTGAGAGTCCAAAGCACATAGAACAGGGTTTGAGTATAAAAGGGAGAAAGTTACAAGATAGGAAGAAAGAGCAGGCAGAAGAATAAACAGCACGCTGATGAACAGTCAAAAGAAATGGTTTTTATGTAAAAAGGTCACTGTACTCACAACTGAATGTTAAAAAAAGTAGTAAACATTGGTTACAACAAATGAACCATCAAAAATCTAGTAGAGAGTTAATCATAATTCACATATCTACTTACATTTTCTTTTGCTACATTTTCTTCCTTGCAACTATCACCCTTCACAGGGAATGTTGGGCAGTTCCAAACATGGT